AAACATCTTTTTAAGAAATACTTTAAATAGCTTTTTAAGAAAAAGAGATTTTTATGAAAAAAAAAAGTTTAAAAAGCTTTTTTATACAAAATTATTTAAAAACTTGTAATAAAATTTTTTCAAGAAAAAAGTAGCTTTTGAAAGTTTTTTTATGAAAAAGCTCTAACTTTTCGTTATGTTATCTTTTTGTTGATTTTATCAGTTTTCTTGCACTTCTTCCGCAATCTGCCGCATTTGAACTACACATTTTTCTGTTTGTTCTCTTAATAGCACGTAGTTTAGAGCAAAATACCAAAAAAATAAAATAAATCTATTTTTAAATATTTAAAAGAAAAACTTGAACACAATACTTTTAACATTTAAACCAAATTTACGTGCCACATTAAGATTTTAGAGCAAAAAAAAAGAGAAAATGAATGACATAACAACTACATTAAATAATAAATAATTCTTTAGTATTTAAGACTTTAAACTAATGTACAGTAGAAACTCTTTTAAAACTATAAAGTACACTTTTATTTTTTTGAACGAAGATAAGGCACAGTGGGGTTAAAGTAGAAATATTAAGAAAAACATTAATTTTTGATTAAAAATATTGTAAGGCACAGTGTTTCAAAATAAACACAAAATATTAGTTATTCTTCAATTTATGTTAAACTTTATCTTCCACTGTGTTTTAACAATTTAAGATTTTTTGTTACAATTTTGTAGAAAAATGAGGTGAAAGCTTTTGGAAAACTTTTAAGTACGAGAAAATTTTAAAGAAAAAGCTAAAGGTTACGAAAAGTTAGAAAAAACTTTATTTTAAATATATTTTTCTCAAACACACACACACATTTTAAAATTTAAAAATCTAAAAAAAATTAACTTAGAAAAGCGAGACTTTTTAAAAACAAGAAAAATATTTTAAGTAAAAAACTTTTAAGCAAGCTTTTAGTATATAAATATAATAAATAAAACACCATTGGAAATTTAGGATTTATTCATTTAGGTGACAAAAAAAATAAAAAAACAAAAAATCAGCGAGCTATACATTTATTTAAAAAAATAAAGATTTTTTTAAAACAAAAATATAAAAAAAAATTATATATAAAAAATATTATTAAAAAGCTGTGTAAATTAATTTAAAATAAAAAAAAACGTTTAAGGTTAAACATTTAATAAAGCAAAGAAAAATATATTAAAAAATCTAAAAAAAATATTTAAAATTTATATTAAAAAAACAAAATATTATTCAAAATATATTATTAATAAATTCATAATTTAAAAAAAACCAAAAAACAAACATAATGCATTAGCATAGCAAATATATATATAAAAAATATAAATATATATATAATATAAAAACAATGCTGATTTATTATTAAAAATATATATATTATTAAATAATTATTTAATTTAAAAAAAAAAATATTACAAAAAAAAACAAAAAAAATGTTTAATTTAAATTAACGGCTAAAAAAAATAATATTGTCCTTAATATTTACATATACATTAAATATAAAAACAAATAAAACCAAAAAATTATATTATTAATTATATAAATAATAATTATAAAACAACATGAAAAAGAATGATATTATAAAACAAAAAGACAACAACAAAATGAAAAAAGAAGAAAAAAACAGAACATTAATAAATTGTTTTTAAAAAATAAAAAAAACAGGAAAATGTAAATCAGTGAAATGCAAAATAAGTATTAAATAAAAGCTTAATTAAAGCTTAAGAAAAGGGGTAAGTAATGAAAAAGTTCAAATCAGCAGTTTCCTTTAATAAGGAAAACCTTAAAAAAGAGCTTTAAACACTTTTTTTACAAAAAAAAAACTTTAAAAAGCTTTTCTATGAAAAAGCTTTAAAGATCTTTTCTATGAAAAAGATTTAAAGAACTTTTTTATGAAAAAGCTTTAAAGAACTTTTCTATGAAAAAGCTTTAAAAAGCTTTAAGCTTTAAAAGTTTTTTTTTAATAAAAAAGCTTTAACAAGTTTTTTTATAAAAAGCTTTTCTATGAAAGAACTTTAAAGAGCTTTTCTATGAAAAAGCTTTAAAAAGTTTATCTATAAATCAGCTTTAAAGGCTTTTCTATAAAAAAAAAGCCTTAAAAAGCTTTTCTATGCAAAAGCTCTAAAAAGCTTTTTATGTAAAAGCATTATAAAGCTTTTCTATGAAAAAGTTTTACAAACTTTTCTATAAAAAAGCTTTACAAAGCATTTAAAGCTTTCCTATAAAAATCGTTCTTAAAGCCATTTTAAGCAAACAACTTTAATACGTTTTGTGCTAAGAAAGAGTTTTTTTTCCTAAAAAAAGTTTGTTTAAACATATTAATAAAAGCTTTAAAAGAAAAACGCTGTAAAAGCTTTTTTAAAATAGCAGTAAAAGCCTTTCTAAGAAAAGCGCTGTATAAGCTTTTTTATGAAAAATCTTTTTAAGAGTCTTTTTAGGAAAACAGCTTTTAACTCCTTATAAAGAAAAGCTTTTAAAGACTTTTTAGAGAAAAAGCTTTAAAACTCTTTTCAAAGGAAAAGACCTTTTAAAGAGAAAGCTTTAAAAATCTAAAGAAAAAGATTTAAAAATCTTTTTAAAGAAAAAGCTCTAAAAAGTTTTTTAAAAAAAGATATTTTTTTAAGAAAAAAATATACATAATTAAAAGAGTTTTTAATAGAAAGCTTAAAAAAGCTTTTATAAGAATGTAATAAATAGTTTAAAATAGCTTTTATAACAATAAGTAACAAAAAATTAAGAAACTTATTTTGCTTATTAAGAAAAACCTTTACATGACTATTTAAACATAATCAAACAGCTTTATTTTAAAAATGATTTAAAAATCCCACTTAAAAACTCTTAAAAACCTTCAAAACTATTCAAAGGCTTTTTAAGTCAAGTAGTTTCTTAAAAGAAAACTAACTAATCACGCATTTTTGGGCAATTTATAAACCTTTACGTGTTAGTTTGCTAGCGACGAATAGATGGCGCCGCCCACAGTTAGTTTTAATGCATTCCATTGCTATATTGCCTACTTCAGGCGCTAATTTTTACAGAGTTGCACAGAAATCAAAAATTGATTTTCGATTTTCAAGAAAACGTGCTCTGATCTCAAATCTGATAGCATATTCGGATTCAGCATCGAAAAACCCTAGTATGTAGACCTCTCGGCCCAATTGGGCCAATAGTTTCCGAGAAAAAAGCAAAAAAGGTAAAACGGCCAGTTTAATAAAACTCCCATTGTTTAGTACAGACATAAACCGTGCGAAAGTTGTTTATGATAACACACATTCGCACACACGTAATATTCATGTAGGCGTGTGTATAGATGTGTGTTTTACTTGAACAAACAACAGCGCCACCTGCTGTTCGCAAGTTGTACTAAGTTTGTGTGTATGTAATTTAGCTAAAATTGGCAGATTTCTTTTTTTGCTTTTTTCTCGGAAACTACCGGCCTAAAACGGCCGGGAGTGTCACATACTAGGGTTTTTTCGATGCTGAATCCGAATATGCTATCAGATTTGAGATCCGAGCACGTTTTCATAGAAATCGAAAATCAATTTTTGATTTCTGTGCAACTCTGTAATAAATTTGCTCCCTAAAATATGCTCTGAAAATATTAATATTAAAAATGAGAAAACAAGTTAGTTTACTAGCAATGTATAGGGGGCGCCTTTTTAATGTGCTTTCTTTTCTGTTGCCAACTTCAGGAGCTTATATTGACAGAGTTGCACAGAAATCAAAAATTGATTTTCGATTTCTATGAAAACGTGCTCGGATCTCAAATCTGATAGCATATTCGGATTCAGCATCGAAAAACCCTAGTATGTGGTACTCCCGGCCGTTTTAGGCCGGTAGTTTCCGAGAAAAAAGCAAAAAAAGAAAATCTGACAATTTTAGCTAAATTACATACACACACACTTTGTACAACTTGCGGTCAACAGGTGGCGCTGTTGTGCACTTAAATAAAACACACATCCATACACACGCCTATATGAATATGACGTGTGTGTGAAGGTGTCATAAACAACTTTAGCATGGTTTATGTCTGTACTAAACAATAGGAATTTTATCAAACTGGCCGTTTTAACTTTTTTGCTTTTTTCTCGGAAACTACCGGCCCAATTGAGCCGAGAGGCCCACATACTAGGGTTTTTCGATGCTGAATCTGAATATGCCATCAGATTTGAGATCGGAGCACGTTTTCTTAAAAATCGAAAAATATTTTTGATTTCTGTGCAACTCTGTAATAAATTTGCTCCCTAAAGTATGCATACCGAATTTTCATATAAAAAATATTAAAATAATCATTTATTTAGTGTTTTAAAGAAGAGCATAAGTTTAGGAGTAAAATTAAGTAAGGGAAATTAAACAAATGTGAAAGGTTTTTCATCACATAATTTTTCTTTTCTTGTTGAATACAACGTTTTATTGTTCAAATTAAGATAAAAAAACTTTACAGGGTCTTAAAGGAATAATACAAATTACAAAAATAGACTTGTTCGTGAGATATTTTCTATTGAAATAATTGAAAATTTTTGCTTCAAAACTTCAAAGGTAGTTTTCCTTTTCCATAAAACGACGGCAGATATTTACGTTCGTGTTTTTGATTCTTCTGGTTTTTAAAGCAACGTAAAGAAAATCTGTAAATAAAATTAAAATTTTGTAAAATATTTAAACAAAAATTGAAAGATTTTACAATAAAATTTTATAAATTATTAATATTTCATTACTCGACCCCCCCTTTTCAAAATCTTTTAAACACCGTCTGTCTATTTTTTCTAACAAAATACTCACATGCTGTTTGTTAAGAAACAAACACACACACACACACTCTGTTTAAAGTAGAGGTTTAATTTTATTCACATTTAAACAAAAATAGACCAGTTTTTCATGTTCATTTGCATCTCTCAAACTCTGTTTTTATATCAAAATAAACAAAAACAAAACGCATTAACAAAAACAACACCTGTTTAATAAAATCAAAATAGTTTTATCATAAAAAAACAAAATCAGTTTGCTTTTAAAGCTCCCAACGTTAACAACATTAAAAGTATATCTGTGAATCAAAAAAATGCCCTTAACAAAATCTTGTCTATCAGCTCATGATCAGCAAGTTTTAGAATCGATCTTCAATCCTCTGGAATTAACTTCTTCTTTGGAAGCACAACTCATTAATCCAGATTCTACCGAACCTTTAGTGGATCAAGATGAGGCACTCGGTTGTGAAGTGGAAATATTAAAGAAATCCAAACAATTGGAAATAGAAGCTGTAAAATTGGCTGAAGAAGAGAAATTGGAAGAAGCTTTGGAAAAGTTTAAGGAATCTTTAGAATTGACACCCAAAAGGGCTTCAATTTATAATAATCGGGCACAGGCTTTAAGATTAGCTGGGAAGATGAGGGTGAGTAGAAAGTGAATTAAATAAAAGTAGAACTTTCAGAACTTGTAAAGAAGTTCAAAGCAGCACACTTGTTCTGCTCTACATATAAAGGGGAAATTTTTGTTTAAATTCCCTTGTACAGGTTGGTGTCAATAATAACCATCAGCCGAGACATAAACCATATATGGTGAATAAGCTGAAAAGAAAAGCAGTTGGCAGCATTGCTACACAAACATTTATTAGAAGCTTCAACTTTTTCTTCGAAATTTTCTAGACTATAAACTAGTTTACAGTATAGTCTATATTCTACCCTATAGTCTACCCCATAGTCTAGTCTATATTCTACCCTATAGTCTACCCTATAGTCTAGTCTATAGTCTAGTCTATAGTCTAGTCTATAGTCTAGTCTATATTCTAGTCTATAGTCTAGTCTATAGTCTAGTCTATAGTCTAGTCTATAGTCTAGTCTATAGTCTAGTCTAGTCTAGTCTATAGTCTAGTCTATAGTCTAGTCTATAGTCTAGTCTATAGTCTAGTCTATAGTCTAGTCTATAGTCTAGTCTATAGTCTAGTCTATAGTCTAGTCTATAGTCTAGTCTATAGTCTAGTCTATAGTCTAAGTCTATAGTCTAGTCTATAGTCTAGTCTATAGTCTAGTCTATAGTCTAGTCTATAGTCTAGTCTATAGTCTAGTCTATAGTCTAGTCTATAGTCTAGTCTATAGTCTAGTCTATAGTCTAGTCTATAGTCTAGTCTATAGTCTAGTCTATAGTTCTAGTCTATAGTCTAGTCTATAGTCTAGTCTATAGTCTAGTCTATAGTCTAGTCTATAGTTCAGTCTATAGTCTAGTCTATAGTCTAGTCTATAGTCTAGTCTATAGTCTAGTCTATAGTCTAGTCTATAGTCTAGTCTATAGTCTAGTCTATAGTCTAGTCTATAGTCTAGTCTATAGTCTAGTCTATAGTCTAGTCTATAGTCTAGTCTATAGTCTAGTCTATAGTCTAGTCTATAGTCTAGTCTATAGTCTAGTCTATAGTCTAGTCTATAGTCTAGTCTATAGTCTAGTCTATAGTTAGTCTATAGTCTAGTCTATAGTCTAGTCTATAGTCTAGTTTAGTCTAGTCTTAGTCTAGTCTATAGTCTAGTCTATAGTCCTAGTCTATAGTCTAGTCTATAGTCTAGTCTATAGTCTAGTCTATAGTCTAGTCTATAGTCTAGTCTATAGTCTAGTCTATAGTCTGTCTATAGTCTAGTCTATAGTCTAGTCTATAGTCTAGTCTATAGTCTAGTCTATAGTCTAGTCTATAGTCTAGTCTATAGTCTAGTCTATAGTCTAGTCTATAGTCTAGTCTATAGTCTAGTCTATAGTCTAGTCTATAGTCTAGGTCTATAGTCTAGTCTATAGTCTAGTCTATAGTCTAGTCTATAGTCTAGTCTAGTCTATAGTCTAGTCTATAGTCTAGTCTATAGTCTAGTCTATAGTCTAGTCTATAGTCTAGTCTATAGTCTAGTCTATAGTCTAGTCTATAGTCTAGTCTATAGTCTAGTCTATAGTCTAGTCTATAGTCTAGTCTATAGTCTAGTCTATAGTCTAGTCTATAGTCTAGTCTATAGTCTAGTCTATAGTCTAGTCTATAGTCTAGTCTATAGTCTAGTCTATAGTCTAGTCTATAGTCTAGTCTATAGTCTAGTCTATAGTCTAGTCTATAGTCTAGTCTATAGTCTAGTCTATAGTCTAGTCTATAGTCTAGTCTATAGTCTAGTCTATAGTCTAGTCTATAGTCTAGTCTATAGTCTAGTCTATAGTCTAGTCTATAGTCTAGTCTATAGTCTAGTCTATAGTCTAGCCTATAGTCTAGTCTATAGTCTAGTCTATAGTCTAGTCTATAGTCTAGTCTATAGTCTAGTCTATAGTCTAGTCTATAGTCTAGTCTATAGTCTAGTCTATAGTCTAGTCTATAGTCTAGTCTATAGTCTAGTCTATAGTCTAGTCTATAGTCTAGTCTATAGTCTAGTCTATAGTCTAGTCTATAGTCTAGTCTATAGTCTAGTCTATAGTCTAGTCTATAGTCTAGTCTATAGTCTAGTCTATAGTCTAGTCTATAGTCTAGTCTATAGTCTAGTCTATAGTCTAGTCTATAGTCTAGTCTATAGTCTAGTCTATAGTCTAGTCTATAGTCTAGTCTATAGTCTAGTCTATAGTCTAGTCTATAGTCTAGTCTATAGTCTAGTCTATAGTCTAGTATATATTCTAGTCTATAATCTAGCCTATAGTCTAGTCTAGTATTTTATTTTTTTAAGAATTAATTTTAATTCTGTATTTCGTTTTTTTATTTAGCCGCTTTTGACGACCTCAATCAAGCTTTGGAGAATTGTTTAAATCAAGCCAAATCCAAATGTCATGCCTTGTGCCAGCGTGGCGTACTTTACCGCAAACAAAACAAATTGGATGAAGCCCGCCAAGATTTTGAAGAAGCCGCCAAAATGGGCAGTAAATTTGCCAAACAACAATTGGTGGAAATTAATCCGTTTGCAGCTTTGTGTAATCAAATGTTAAGACAAGCTTTTCAACAATTAGAGAAATAATAAATAAAGAGAGTAACAGAGAGAAAAATTAAAGAAGGGAAATGGGTTTTTAATTACAGGATTTAGAATAGAATTAGAAAAGTAAGAAAGAAATAGAGAGAAAATAATAAAAAATGGTAATTGAGGAAAGAGAGTATTTTAAGAGAACTTTTATAATGAAAACAGGTTAAGTTGTAATTGTAATTAAGTTTGTTTTTTAGTTAATATTAATTACAACTAACATGAATTTCTTCTTAATGATAAATGAAATAAATAATTCATTAAATGTTCTTTTTGGCGTAAGCCACCTTTTATTATTTGTTAATGACATTTTGCATTTAATTTTTAGAACTCCAAAAATAAAAACAAATATAACGGAATAATGCCAATATATACAACAATATATCATGTGAATTAGTCTCGTGTTGAAATCGATCATCATTGATTTACAACTTGTTGCATAAAGAAGAAAAAACTACAAATTTCATTAAAAAAGCAAAAACCTGTCGAATTTTATACGAAAACAAAAGAGGGGGAGCAACCAGCGAAAAATGCAAGGTGCGTTTCTACCAATGCTTTATGATGCAGTTTATTTATACAAATGAAAAAGAACGCAAAAATAACAGTTGCAGTTAAATGTGGCACGTGGTTAAAAGGGCACGATTTTGTGCCAATTTCTATAAACAATGAAACTGCAACTGTTGAGTTTTTCATTTTGAGCTGTCATGAGTCCCAGGAGTTTATATCACAAAGGGTTAAATGTAAAAGGACATGTTACAAAAAAAAAAAAAAAAAACAGATAAGAAAACCCAAAATTTAAATTCAAAAACGTAAAACATTTAATTTTGTTAAATTTATTTTTAGAGCACAAAAACTTACGGGCAACAACCGGCAACGGTACTTGGCAAATTTCAGTTAACCGAAACTGAAAAGTGAACAAGAAAATTAAGCCACAATAACAAATGTTTAAGATTGAAAAATACAATTTTGAAACAAATTGAACAGAGACCACGAAAATATTCCTCTGCAGGTTCCTGATGAAGTTAAATCAACAAAAAATGAAAGTGGTTTTATTATCCTTTTTTTCTTCGTCTTCTTTACCCAACAAATTTTAAACTTTACATCAGAGCGCTGTAATAAACCCTATTTTTTTATAAAAATAAACTTAAAACACGCATTCTGACCAGTTCATTCGTCAGGCAATACATGCAGCTCCCCTTAACAATAACAACAAACACGATCATTTGTAATGAAATGCTGAAGTGTGCAGTGTGGTTTGGTAGAAGAAAAAAAACCTTAAACTTGGCACGCTTTTGCCTCAAAAATTGTCTTACAATCATAAGGCGGGAAGTTTTTTTTAATATAGCGATATATAAAAAAGATTTTCTTTTTTGGTTTTATTGCTTGGACAACAAAAAAAATCTGATCATTTTTGTAACCAAAACAGTCAATTCATTTTAAAATCTTAACCAAACAGTTTGAAACAATTTAACTTCGATTTTTTAGGGAACTACAATCAGCAAAGAAGGTATATTTAGTTCCTTAAAGATCAAGAAACAATTTGGGTTCACAACAGGCCTCGATCATTTTATATTGCTCATACCTCGAACAGATAATTGCTTAATGAGAGAGTTGCGGAAGATCATGCAAATGTCTTGAAGAAACTCACTCATTTGTGAATCGTGCAAACATCTCGAAGAAGTTTAACTCACTTATAAAACAAAACTCTTAAATGATATTAAAGATCATGTAACGACCTAGCCCTGCCACCGGAGACCAGTTAATCGCTAGAGACCAAGTAAATAAGACCACACAAAAATCTTTAAGAAAGATCAAGCAATAGTCTTTAGGAAGCTTCCATCTCTTAAAAATCCCACACTTGCCGATCATACAAAGATCTTGAGAAGTTTCCCTCACTTACATACACAACAAAACTCTGACGATTCAGAGGTTTGACTCCAATAGATGTTTGCTTAATACACGTATCCTTCAGCAGTATGGATATAGTTGCGAATGATCATGCAAGGATATTTTCTCTGTTTCATAAAGAACATTTTCTCTGTTATGATTGAAATCCATGCAGCCGGAGAGCGTCGCTAGAGATCAAGTAAATACGACCAAGGAAAAAACTTGATGATCATACAAAGATCTCAAATAAGCTTTCTTCACTTATGAAACAAAACTCTGACATTTCATCTTATCAAACAAGATCTTACGAGATTTTGGCTCTAACAGCTATATTCATAATGCCTGCTTTTTTTCTGAATTTTGAAGATAGTTGCAACTGATCATGCAACTAAGGATCACGGAAAAATAATAAAGAAGTTACTCTCACGTATAAATAAAACATCGGCTGGTCTATAGTCCACGCTATAGACAGATCTATAGTCCAGACTATAGGCTAATCTATAGTCCAGACTATAGACTAATCTATAGTCCAGACTATAGACTAATCTATAGTCCAGACTATAGACTAATCTATAGTCCAGACTATAGACTAATCTATAGTCCAGACTATAGACTAATCTATAGTCCAGACTATAGACTAATCTATAGTCCAGACTATAGACTAATCTATAGTCCAGACTACAGACTAATCTATAGTGCAGACTATAGACTGATCTATAGTCCAGACTATAGACTGATCTATAATAAAGACTATATACTGACTATAGACTGATCTATAATAAAAACTATATACTGACTATAGACTGATCTATAGTCCAGACTATAGACTGATCTATAGTCTATACTATAGAATGATCTATAGTCTATACTATAGACCGATCTATAGTCTAGACCATAGAATAGTCCAGACTATAGAATGATCTATAGTCCAGACTATAGAATGATCTATCGTCCAGACTATAGACTGTTCTATCGTCCAGACTATAGTGTGTTCTATCGTCCAGACTATAGACTATTCTATAGTCTAGACTATAGATTGTTCTATAGTTCAGACTATAGACTGTTATATAGTCCAGATTATAGACTATTCTATAGTCTAGACTATAGACTGTTCTATAGTTCAGACTATAGACTGATCTATCATCCAGACTATAGACTGTTCTATAGTTCAGACTATATACTGTTCTATAGTCCATACTATAGACTGTTCTATAGTCCAGACTATAGACTGTTCTATAGTCCAGATTATAGACTGTTCTATAGTCCAGACTACAGACTGTTTTATAGTGCAGACTATAGACTGTTTTATAGTCCAGACTATAGACTGTTCTATAGTATAGACTATAGATTTTTTGTTCTATAGTCCAGTTAGATTAGGGTGTCAAAATTTTCAAAACCACCTTTCAAAATTAAAATATTTGTTTGTATTTAAATCTGTAAAGAATTGATCCCTTTTTTTAAATGCTATATGAGCAACAAGAAAAAATGCAAACTTACACTAATAAACAGAACAGTTAAACCCATTATAAAATAAAAATTAACCCTTAAATGATCTATATATACAAAAACTTCAATATATATAAAATAAACTTTAGTAACAGTAAGCTCACTGAGAGGTAGTTTGGTAACGAGACTAAGTCTTCAAAAAGTAATTTTAAGGACTAAAAAATCGAACTCTTTTTTGTCCCTTTCTCACGCTAAGGGTAACTCTCTATATTTTCCCTTCTTCCTACTCCTGTGGTTAACTGTTGTTTTTTTTTTTTTTTTTGTTAATTCTGTGGGGATTTTGATTCAGTTTTTTTTAAGGTGCAATAGCAGGTGCTTCTTATTTAAAGCAGAATCTAAAATACTATACAAAAAACAATAACAAACTGAAATACAGCTCTTTTATAAAAAAAACACTGACTTAAAGATTTCTTATTTTTGATGCTCTATGTTTAAAAAAAAAAGATTGTTTAAGAAAAACTTGTAAAAGAGGGTTAAAAATAAAAGATCCCTTTTTTAAGCCTATTAAGTAATTTACAAAAGTGGAAAATAAATAAAGAAAAAAATTTTTAATTTTTAAAAATCCTGTTAAATGATTAACAATTAATAAGAAAATTTTGTATTTTATAGAGAAAAAGGCAAAATATTGTTTTTTTTTTTTAAACTTTATTTTAATATAGTTTATATTTATATTTTTTTCAAATTTAACCTCAAAGTTTGAATTATATAAAATGGCGATTTTATCATTTTACTTTGATAACACGGGCCGAGAAAATTTTTAACCCAAAGTTTTGACCGAAGTATACTTTTCTTAAGGATTGAGTCGCGCTGAATACGAATCTGCCCTCAGAATTTGTTTATCTGGGATTTGTTATATCATGTCCTGAAGTTTGAAAAACACAATTTTTGGCGCTATTTGAGATGTTATAACAGCGCCCAGACATCTTTACTTAGAAAGTGTTGTATGTCATCTGAAAGTCCATTCTATTAACTTTAAAATGAAGGCTTAACATCTGTCACATCTTCTCTTTTCCTATGAAAATACTTTTTGAATTGTTCAAAAATCTGCTGTAGTTTATGAGATCTCATCCGTTGAAGTTAACGGACGGACAGACATCATTAAGTCGAATCAGAAAGTGATTTAGAGTCGATTGGGATATCCTTAGATAGGTGTGGATCCAATATTTTTGTTCGTTATAAACAATATATACAAAGCATAGTATTCTCCACATTATAGTAGTATAGAGTATAAATACCATTAATATACCGAAAACCATGAGTTTTCAAGATTCAGGCGAAGATTTTTCGAAGTATAAAGAAGATATGACAGATGTTAAGCCTTTAATTTAAAGATGACAGAATGGACTGTCAAATGGCAAACAACATTTTATAAATAAAGTTATCTAGGCACTGTTATAATGTCTCAAAAAAGAGCAAAAAATTGAATTTCAGGACACGATATCTCATATTCGGATTTAGCACGGCTAAATTCTTTAGAAGCGTCAGAGTTTCGACATTTTTTTCAAATTTGTCGGCCTGTGTAATTTAATGAAAATTCTTTAAATTATTTTAGAAGTGCTGTAATCCTCTTAAAATCCTGCTTTAAACCTTATGTATGAATAATTGTAATAATCCTGCAAAATCTATAATTTCAAAATACTTTTGTACTGTT